ATAGCCACTTGTCATAAAAAAGCAAATTCACTTCCCACTGGTGATATAAACCTTTTAATTAAATATGGTATTTGCAGTGGAGCAGTGCATCAGAATACAGTTTATTGCTATGGAGGTTTTGAAATGCAGGAAGCACAGCCGGAATTTTAGAGCACACTTTTCAAAACATCTTAACACAGAATCTGTCAAAGGCACATTAACATCACACTGCTACAGTGAACGGGAGCTTTTGATGAGTCAATGAGGTCACCCCACAAAAACAATCAACCTGAGACAGACAGCTGTGTCGGTGCTGGCGGGTTTCCTTCTGCACCGCAGAACAAACAGCAGCATATGAAAAGAAAAGCCTCACTTCAATTATGCATGTGTTCAAATGAGGGGCTTGCAGTGTTGGCTCCTTTACTTGCATATGCATAGATAGCAAACTGGATCTCTACGTTACATCTTCAAAGACCTTGCTGGTCAAGTTTCCCTTTCATGTCACGTCAAGCTAGACGTAAAGATGGAAAAATCATCAACACACTAGAGGCTGCTGGTTCAGTATGGTAGGATATGAAAACAGCATAAAGAATAGAGATTCTGGTCAAACAATGAGCCACCAATTTGCATACTGGGCTGGCCCTGAAAACTCAAGTCAAGAGAAATGACTGAGTAACACAGTAGTAAACAGATTAGTTGTATGTATCTGTTAAACCATACGTTCTGGAGATTTCTGACTTTAAAGGTCCCTTTTATGGAAATATTCCATGTTGACTCCATTCATATTTGTCATGACACTTACAGTTTGGACTTATGGAAGTATTTATCCTAGGCCCTGGTGTGTAATCATCATGTTCCCCCAATAAAAAATTTAAATTTCAAAAACTGCAAGAAAGCTCAGTATTCAGTGTTAAAGCGAGTGTAAAACGCACTGTTTGCTGTTCACTGAACTCCTCCTGCTTCATGTTGGTGTACACATCAACCAGCAATAGTGAACACAACAGCTGTGTGCAGCTCAGGAGTGCGTGTCAAAATGTATAGTCAATTCTGTATCATCTGTGCGTCATGCACACATATGAGTGTCTACAGAAGTAAAGCTTTTTAAATTTCAGCATCCCAGATGCAAATATTAAATATAAACCAGTGTGTAACTGCTCTTTATTAAAACATCTGAATGAGTTTAACAAGTTGTAGGATGATCAGCTCTGCAGTTGTCACTAAACTGTGCCAGTGTGAATCAACGTTATGTTATTAGGTGTTGGTCAAAATGCACACACTCCCAGGTAGCATTTCTGAAACTTAGGTGTGCACCGGGACCAGCATTGTCTCTGGCACATGGTCCTTATCGTTCTATGAACTGTGTGTGTCCTGTGTTTTACTGTCTTACTTTTACTGACCAACTTCTAGCATGTCGTCATCCACGCGTCTTCAAATCCCACCAATAGCTTGCCAAAAGCGGAGTGTCTTGCGTGCCCGTCGTTGTTTAGTTGTGCATTTTGTCCTTAAAATTAATACAAAACAGTATGTTTCTCCGCTTTTACTACATTTATTGGTGAGTTTTACTAAGCTACAGTAGGGTACAATCCGTTATCCGCGGTTGGCCTGGCCGTGCATCACTCAGTAAACAAACACTTTTCTTGCTAGAGCTCCAGAAACAGCATGAGATAGGAGATGTAAAACTACACTGAGAGGTTTTTTGGTACTTTTTAACTATAAAGTTAAAATTAAACCCAGGAAAAGTATAAAATATAGAACCTTTAAATTTGATTTGGTAAAATGTGAACTGTTTCAATGCCAACTTATTATTCAAAGTAGATTTTGACTAAAAACGCTTTATTTTAACAGTTAATGCAACTTAATTTTCCTTTCCCTTTCATGTTAGTCAGTTCAATTAAATCTGATGTAATGCATATACTGACTTAATTAAAGGTAGTTTTACTCATTTTCTTGGCTTTTCCCCATAGGCTGTGCTCAATTTTTTGTCTTATAGACTATATTATTGACTTTGCTTTACTCAGAATACCCAGCCAATAAAATATTGGATAATGCTACCTCAATTTTTATTAAAAACTCAAATTAACAGTTTGAGCTGCATACTGTCGCTAAAGAAAAACAGGTTAAACACAGTCATTCCACCATGCAGTTTGGTGTAAACATGTTAGAAATGAGCTTGAGTTGGGAAATAAAGTCCTGAGAATATCATCTACTCCACTGCTTCATCCCCAGAGGTCATGTCTTGTGTAAACACACCCACAGTGTCCCTCACTTCTTTATTTGACGATTGCCAGACATTTGATGTTAAAGTCACTCATGCTTGCAGACATAGTCTGGGACTATGAAGTGAGAGTGTTTTGACAGGCTCATAATATATCTCTCTGTAGTGCTTGGCAGCGCCGATCAACAATAAACATGCCTGGATGCCTGCTGTAAGCTATTTTACAGCTCTTGATTTTGCTAATACATTTTGGGAGGAGAGACACTGCCTGCATGATGTTCAACACTTTGCTGTCTGGCAAGTGAAAATTGAACTTTGTTAATGGACCTCGGTTTGTCCTGTGCTGTGACCTTGCTGTGAAGGATAAGTCTGTGTGTGTGTGTGTGTCTGTGTGAGAGCTCAGTACAGACAACAGTTGCCATGTGTCCTCAGCTGAGCTGTATAATGTACAATGTAGGGATGGACCAATTATCAATTATTATAAATTATGGGATCCAATTTGAAATATTATTAAAGCTCAAAGTTCCACCCACAGAACTATCTGATTGGTTAGACGCTGGTAAAGGTGGATCTCATTTTGATGACTTTATGCTGCTGGGTAGATTCATCTAAAATTATACAAAATAATGTATTAGTTTATATTATGTATTAATAATGTGAAACGTAAATCAAGTTATCAATTAAAGGTAGTGGATTAAACTGGTCAATATTTGCCTCCAAACTGCAGAGCAGTAGCATAAAATGGAAAATTTTACAGGGGCGGAGACAGATGTTGGAAATACTTGGGGGTTAGAATTAACCTGGGGGGGCCATGCTCCCCTGGGGAGATTTTTTCCCATTTACAGCAGCTATATGCACTATTTGTAAAACCAGCTGAGATAATAAAATGCCTAAAATGTGTACAGCATTTGGGAAAAACATGATAATTGCCCAAGAAAAAAGAAAGATCCTGTAGAGCCTATGGCCTATTTTGTATCTAATTGTTCTCCAACTGTCTTCATCATTCTGAAACCAGAACACAAAAATTGTTGAGGATGACTCATTTTCACTCCTGCTAACTAAAAAAAAGGAAAACACTGTCTGATGTTATTATGTTTAAGTTACATAACATACAGCATTATTAATCTTGAAACCTGGAGTTCACAGAATGAGTGTTTAGTTTTGTTATGTCCTTCAATATGTCCATTGTCCATAAGCTGCTACCTAGACACACACAAAGACAACAGCCCTACCGCTGTTAGCCTATAGTAGATGACAGTGTTTCCAGTAATAGAACTTTTAGAGACTGATGGGAGATGACAGAAAGTGGGAGTTATTTTAAAATCAGCAGAGAGAATGAGAAAGAGATTTGAGGTTTTTGAGAAAACATTTGGGGTTGGAGCCCCAGAATTATTGGATTCATTATTTTATTTTCATAGTTGGGGTTAGATATACTTTAATGTAGTGTAATACTGAGAACTCTAAACATAACTGTAATAATTGTAATAATTGTGATATTTGTAATGATTGTAATTTGTCTTCCCTGCTCTTGTGGATATACACACACAGACTCTCACACACACACACACACACACACACACACTAAGTATTACACACATAAGCGTTTTTATTGTTTTTCTTAGTGTTATATTGGATAATATCTTGTTCTTGTAATATTTTCTGATTTAATATTCTGTTATATGTTTATCCACTCTGCAATAAAAGCTAAAAGAAAAACACTGAGATTTAAAAAAAAATGCAAATTATTATTTATAATCATAACAATTTAGAAATCTTGTTTCAAAGCAGTTAATATTAGCTTTGATTTTATGAAGGATTTTCTTCATGCTTTATTTGCTCTACGAGATCCATTCGTCTACACTTGGCTTTTGCCTCCTATTTTTATAATTACTTTTGAAGAAGTTATTCTCAGTATTGTAAGTAAGTAATTATACTTTCTATCCATTATTATAAGAGAAATTCCACCTACTAGGATAATTAAATTAGGACACATACAAATTTTCACAATACATCTTACATTTTTCTTACTTTTACTTTTCAACAACAATCCAATATAATTATTATTTTTCATAGGAGCAAAATATATGGGTTAAGTTTCCATAGATTTCTCCATATTCCCTCCAACATTTAGATAATGCTGATGAATCAGATTTAGAATATTTATTGGGGCTAATAAAACACTGCATCTGTATTCTTCCAGGCACATTCTCTCCGGTAGTTGTTTTTTGTGTCCCAGTTAAATGCCCGCCCATTAATCAGTATCAATCACAGTGTCCGATTCTTTGCCCCATTTCGCCAGCAAAAAATGGGCCAATTGGCCTATCATTCACGTAAATATTGTTCTCACCAAAGTGACTGTGAAGCTCTCCTCTCAGACATCAGAAAAAGTTGGAATCATCGTGGTCAGATGATGAGACAGGTTCAAGAAAGCAAAAAGTGACATCCTTCATCCATGTCCCAAACTCAACAAGAAGTCAGCCATTTTTAATTTTGTGGTAATATTTTGGAGATTTATACGTGTTGTATAATTAACTCCTTCCTACAGAATTTATAGGATTCACCTCAAATTTGGTCAGTGCATTCTAAAGACCTGCACCAAACTTGGCATGTTTCACCTACTGGAAACAGGAAGTAAGCCTTGTATGGCAATCATCATCTGATTTACATGAAATTTTCACGGCGTGGTTTGTACAATATGTGCTGGCATATAAGGTGTATGGACTGCAAGGGCCTGTTCATCACTGCTTGCAGCTTTAATTTTTGCTTTATTTTTGAAAGGTGTGTTCTTGTGTGTGCCTGTGTGTAGTATCGGACTATGGAAGGTGGTGGCGAAGTTCACAAGCAACCCACAGCAGAGCTACTCTGCAGGGTTTGAGGTCAAAGAATATGGTAAGTCCCTCCCAAATATCCCTTGCATGCATCTGGAATGTTTTTGAGCTGGGACTTATCTTCCTGATATAAGGAAGGAATCCAGATTTTTTTAAGTGATCACTGATGATTGTTTTTTAACTGGGCACAATTTATTCAATACTATTACTGTTATTACACAAAATTCAGCGGAAGCTAAAATTTATGTGGCAACTTGGCTTGACCATGCCCCCTCAATGCAGCCCCCAAGGGACGTTTCACAGACCATCACAATTAAAAGTTGTGCTCTTGGTGACTGGTAAAATGGCTTGGTGCTGAATTTCACGTTTGGCCATGAAACAGGAAGTTGTCATAACTTCAGTGTACATGGTCCAATCTCCACCAAACTTCACATCTGATAAGTCCCACTCTAAACACATGCCAGTGTAAACAGTGTGTAAACACTGGTATAATCATAAAATTCATTACAATAAAACACATTACCATTAATTTGTCTCTGCCCAGACAAAAGTCTTTTACTTGATATCTATTATCTATCTTATTCTATCTATCATTATCATATCTTAATCTATCTATCTATCTATCATATCTAATCTACAAACACACAATCTTTTCAGTGCTGCCCAGTTTTGAGGTGAAACTGATATCAGGGAGCCCTTTCTTCTATGTGGACAGTGAAGAGCTCTCAGTGGACATCAAAGCTACGTATGTGAAGGTTTTTGTTTTGTGGCTCAGGAAGCCAGTTTTACAGTAATTGGTAAATTAATTGGAGAAAATAATAAAAAGTGATGTTCAAAGGTTGTGTTAGTGGTGTTTTTTAACTGTTGTGGTTAATTTAATTGTGTTACAACATGTCCTGCTCTTATGGTTTTAGATATCTATTTGGTGAAGAGGTGAATGGTATGGCCTACGTGTTGTTTGGGGTTATACAAGAGGGCAAAAAGAATAGCTTTCCAAGTTCTCAACAGAATGTGCAGGTGAGCAATATGCACATACTTACAATTTTACTGTATTTCTGGCCATCTCTATGCCAGCTGATTGGTCAAACTCTGGCGGACAACAATTTAGATTTATAAAAGTACCTCCAACTGTTCACTGACAGTATTTCAACAGGTATTTTTGTATTATGTGACATTAGGTCGAGAGAGGTGAAGGAAAGGTCACACTGAAGAGAGAGCACATCACAACGTCTGTCACAAACATCCAAGACCTGGTGGGGAGTTCCATATTTGTAGCTGTCAGAGTGCTGACAGACAGCGGTAAGAAAGAGAGACTTTGTGTTTGTCCGTGTGATTCACACTAATTCAGTAGCCCAAATCATCATATATTTATAAATAAATATAAATTTCTGTCCAAAATTTCCCAAACATGAATGAAAGGTAAAAAAAAAAGAAAATTAAGCGATCTGTTTTAGTTAATCAAGTAGAAGTGGACAAAAAATAGTCTTGTAACCAGTTTGTATGTGAATGTGTTTTTGTTTCTGCACCAACTCACAGGTAGTGAAATGGTGGAGGCAGAGTTGAAAGGTATCCAGATTGTAACATCACCGTACAGCATCCACTTCAAGAAAACACCCAAATATTACAAACCAGGAATGTCCTTTGATGTTACGGTAAACACTTATTTAAGGATTTTAAAAAATCCTTTACAGAATACATTTCAATACTGAAATACACTAATTTAAAACACTGAATTTCACACTCTTTAAAAACACAGATTACAGTATAACATATCAAAAATATATAATAATACTTAGTTTTAATGCTCCTTTAATAACTATAACTAATGCTTTGATAGAGTTTCATTATAATGCCAAGGCAAATTTTCACAAACGGACATGATATTGCAGAGAAAAAGATAAATTATTTTAACAATTTGGGCCACTAGATCCTGTAATAAAAACAATAATTTGACAATTATTTATTTAATAAAATGTGTTTCAATAAAACATCAGTGATGATAGTTTTGACAGCTGTTTGTGCCTCTGATGGCAGGTTGAAGTTCTGAATCCTGATGGCACTCCTGCAGAAGGTATTGCAGTGGTAGTCAATCACCAGGAGCGGGGCCGCACTGAAGCCAATGGCATTGCAAGACTTACCATCAATACAAAGGGGAACACTGGCACAATGATAATCACTGTAAGTTTCTAAAAATGTTCAGCCTTTTTGCATTACTGTTTGCATTAATCAACTTTTTTGATATTCACTTGTTGAACTCAAATAGTGCTTTTTTTATGTTTCTTTAGCTCACTGGTTCTGCTGCTCACACATTTATTGTACAGTATAATGATAATACAGTCCAGCATGTTCAAGCTAAATAGATACATTTTTCAAGACTCGGTGGATACCAAAACACAGCTTAAAGGAGTTAATATTGGCCTTGAATTTGACAGGTGGCAATAAACAGGTCTCTAAATGAATGCTAATGTTGTTCTTTGATATCAAAGTAGACATTTTTTTTTTACTACCAACTAGTTTATTTGTAGTTTGAGTTGATGAATCATTGATGTTAATTTAAAGTGTCTTAAAAAAAGAAACCACACTGACTTTTTACCTTAATTAAATGTCAACATTTCATGTAGCTCTGAAATGAAATAAGACTAGACTCAAAACATTTGCATTTGGCAGTGATGACCAGATTTTTATTCATTCAGTCATTGAAAAACATTGTCAATTCTTCTACAGTATTTGTCTTTTGTTATTATATTTATATTAATAGGCCAAGCTATACCAGGCAAGGCTTCAATAGGATAGACTCTGTATTTATTGTTTATTGCGTATATGTTTACCTGTGTGTGTGTCTTTAATTGCAGGCAAATACCACTGATGACCATATTGCACCTGAAAGACAAGCATCAGCCAACATGGTAGCTGTCCCATATTTCACCAAAAGCAACAAGTACATCCACATAGGTGAGCAACATCCTGAAATAATAATTTAAAAAAGGGGGTTGATGGTGGTGGCAATGGCAAAGTATGTGCCATTCACTAGATCTTTGCAGTGTCTAGTACTCAGCACAGGTCATTTTCGCAGGTGTGGATGGAGCAGAGGTGAAATTGGGACAAAGACAGAAAGTCAACTTCTACATCCACCCGATGGAAGATACATCAACTGACATGACATACCTGGTGAGGATCCCTGTACATATATGCATTTTTGCAAATGCATGGGTGTTTGCAATGCTTTTAACATTCGGTGTAGTTCTCATGCTAGATAAGTGCTGATGTGTAAATCTGTGTGCCTAGATCTTGAGTAGAGGCCAGCTGGTGGAATATGGCCGTTACAAGACAGAAGCACTGATTTCCAGGATTGTTACCATTACCAAAGAAATGCTGCCATC